CTAGACTCAGTTTCCTCACTTGTAATATAATCTCAAGGATCGTTTTAGCACAGACATTTTAAGCTTTGAGTATCTTGCCAATGAGAACAATTAAGAGAAAGAAGTAAAACTCATCCTCTGATTCTGTTTTTACTAGGTACTCTGGTAAAGATTATGCAGGAAATTGAAAAGAGCTCAAATAAAATGCACCCCCTATAGATTTTACTCATACATAGATGCTATCATCCTCTGCAGACCTCTAGTTCTTTACATCCTGTTAATACAGATTATCTGAAATTGGAGAGGCATTTTAGGGTAATGGAGCCTTTATCAGTGATTGGGACTTTAAATGGCTTCCTTGGAAGAAAGACAAAAAGATAAAAAAGAAAATTAGATTTGTGCAAAAATATATCTTTAAAACCTCTATGGAAGAATCGATATTCATGCATGAGATATACTGGTAAAACTTCTTGGAGTAACAAAGAAAGCGGACACTAAGCTCTGTGTTAGGACTGTTTGAAGAATGAGGAAAAAGTTCTAATAATGATACAATGTTTATGTTAAAAAGATTAAGAGCAGTTCCCTACTTACTGTCACCCAGCTTTACAATGATGACCTAGTTTACAAAGAGCTACCACCACTTTGCCACATCTTCTCCCATCTCAGGCACCCAGTACCTGGGAGCATCTTTGATAGATACACAACACCCCTGCCCTCACCCCAGTCTTCTCCCCAGAGGCCAACAAAGCTAGACATTTTTTTTGTCGTAGCTCAGTCCACACACTCACTAACTCAGGTATCTTGCTACTAAACAGGACCATCTCTGGTCTGTCCAAATTGATATGGAAGATAGGGAGCTTCCTCTCTGGGAATAACAATAATAGTAATAAGGCTGGGCGCAGTGGCTCACGCCTGTAATCCTAGCACTTTGGGAGGCCGAGGTGGGCAGATTGCCTGAGCTCAGGAGTTCAAGACCAGCTTGGGCAACATGGCAAAACCCAGTCTCTGCTAAAAATACAAAAAAAATTAGCCAGGCGTGGTGGTGCATGCCCGTGGTCTCAGCTACTCGGGAGGCTGAGGCAGGAGAGGCCTGAACCCAGGAGGAGGAGGTTGCAATGAACCGAGATCATGCCATTGCACTCCAGCCTGGGCAACAGAGCAAGACTCTGCCTCCAATAATAATAATAATGACAAATTTTTATCTAAAATTGACATATATACTCTGAGGCTACTTATATTATAGACCTAAAGATTGTGGACAATCTAGAATGTGGCAGAAAAAGTATGTTTTTGAAATTCCCAATCAGAGTTCAAAATATATTACTACCACCCTGATCCCCACCATCAAAAAAATGGCAGCCAGCAAGGAACAAAGGCCCTCAGTCCAACAGCCCTCAAGGAACTGTATGCTGCCAACAACCACAAGAGCTTAGAAGGGGAACCTCCCCTCATTGAGCCTTTGATGAAATCTCAGCCCTGACCAACAACTTAAGTGCAGCCTTGTGAGTCTGTGTCTGCAGACCCAGGTAAGCCACATCCAGATTTCTGACCTACAGAAAGTGATCACAAATGTATCTTAAGTCACTAACTTTACAGTAATACTGTTACCTAGCAACTGCCAATTAATACAGACAGATGAGAAACACACAATATAATTAGGGCGCAAACTGAAGGCAGTAGAATAACAAGTATAATATAGAAAAGTTCAGGTAATCAAAGTAAAGGAAAGCTCACTACGGATAAGGTTAGTTTTGAAACATTTCATACAGAGGTTAGCTATGAGACGCGTCTTAAGTGTTTCAAGAATTCAGACTGGCAGACAGGTAGAAGGAACAGCAAAGAGGTAAGAATCAATTGAATGTCCCAGACAATAAGAACATCACACTGAGGAACCGTGGGAGGAGACTGAATAGGTGAAACGGGTCCAGATCACAAGAAGCCTGGAAGGGCAGGGCTAAGTGGGCTCTTCTTTGAGGCTATAGACAACACTACCAAAGGAAAGGCTCTTGAGGAGGGAAATGACAACATAAGAGCCCTATTTTAAAGAACTTAATCTTATCACAGTATAAAGGATGGAGCAGATTAGAGATAAGACGACCAAGAATAGATACGCTAGCACAACAGTCTTCATGAGAGGCCAACAAACATGGGGAAAAAAGGTTCACACTCATTAATAATCAAAGACATGCAAATTAAAACTATAAAACACTATTTTCTGGCTTAACAAATTAGTAAATAATAAAAACTAATAATACTAGCAAAGAAAAAGCAATCTCAAACACTGTTCGTGGGAATATAAATGGAACGGTCTTCATGGAAAGCCATTCAGCAATATGCATTAATAATTTTAAAATGTTCAAATTCTCAGACTCACTAATTTACTTCTTAAAACATATTCTAAGGAAACAAATTGATTTATTCATTAAACAAGCATTTAAATGTGTGCCTACTATGCTCTAGGCAAATATATCTCTTCTCTCATGGCACTTAGGATACACATTTAACAAATAATCAAAAAATAAGTATATACTTACACATATTATAGGATACAATGAGAGTACTTCTGAATATCAGATTTAAATTATGAGAACAAAAATACCTCTCTGGGAAGCGAAGTGACATTTATGCTGAGAGCTGAAGGATGAGTAGAGTTTAGCCATGTGCAGATTGGGAGGAATTTTTTTTTCTGATAGAAGAAACAATATTCATGAACGCAAGAAAGAGTTATAGTTGAGATTTCAGAGGACTGATTTGTTGACTTTTTCAACAAATACGTATAAAGGTCCTAGTAAGACCAGCTACTGTACTAGCGGCTGACAGTAAGGAATGGGAGAGTGATCAGGGTTAGGCTGAAGTACTAGCAGACAAAACAGGTATAAAAATACTATACAGCTACAGAAGAGCCTACAGTTCGTAAGGAAGCAAAGAAGTACGAGGAAATAAGTGTAAAGGAAGGAAACCAATACATTTTCAGGAGAAAGAAGAGGATGGAATAAAGGTGACAAACACAAAGACTGCTGCTTTTCTGTCTCTTTTCAGATCGAAATATTATAGACTTATCTGAGAAAGGTAAAAAAAGTCTGTTCTTTTTTTACAAAAACATCTATAGACAGAAATACTTAAGTAGGTTAGCACTAAAAAGGTCATACAGTAAGAGAAGATGAAGTAGAAATCAAAAATAAATTTTAAACATGTGTACATGAATTAGGGAATAGCTACACTTGGGAAACTATTTTCCCTCTATATGAATGGCTCTTGACTATGCTAAGCATTCAGGGAACAGTGATCACATTTTCAGAATAATAAATAGCCTCTCTTGGAAGAGGCCGAAAGGTACATAGAATAATCCAAGTATTTGCAATCTGCTCCACTGAACAGATGAATCACCACAATGTTAAATACGAAGAGTGGCATTTACACAAACTTTATGGTGAGAACAGGCATGGAGTCCTGGCAAGTTATGAAAGGAGCCATTAAAAATGATTCCAATCCCATGTAAGTAGAAGACCTGAGGGAGTAGTTCCCTTTTCCTCTTATCTCCTTTATCTAAATTGTAATATTTTATATTTGATACATGTCAGCAGCATTAAAGAGTTAAATAATATTTTACAGAGTAGATGCTATCTACAAAAAAATAGTACTGTGGAACTCTGTACTATATTTGCAACTTCTATGAGTCTAAAGTTATTTCAAAATAAAAATTAAAAAAATATGCATAGTCTTGCTACAAGAAATAACATACAGTCTCAAATTTGCGTTAATTTCATGAAGCAATCATAAAGAAGAAGAAATGTAATAATTCTTCCAATTGCTAAGAGTCCAATTTTCACTTCTCTCAATGGATGCAGGTGCATATCAAGAGAAAAACTCATCTTCTGGGCTGGATATTCTACCGCCCACCAGCCATGTGACTTTGGGAAAATTACTTCAGTCTTCCAAGCCTCTGTTACACCTACCTCACAGGGTGGTATCGCATGCTAGTTGACTTTGGGATGCTATAAAGATACTCATTGTTGTCATTTACAATTTTGTTTATTTAAAATGCATTATCTTATCTTCATTAATGGGAGGAATAACACTGAGAAATTAACTATTTGGATTTCTTCAGGTTTGTAACATTATCAAATTAATCTTATACTTCCCACTAGGGGCCCAGATTTAACCAACAGATTTATATAATAATAAATACAGTTATTACATATTACGTTCCTGGAAAATGCTTTATAATAGACCTACAACCTTAAAATGTTACCTGCTTAGCCTTTTCCTATAAAGTGCATTAACTGGATTAGTTAGCCTACTACCTTAAAATTAGTTTTGCTAATTCTGAAGAACAAATGCCTAATAAGGCTTCATGGGGCACAAATATATAGTTTACACAAATATATTAGCATCATACATAAAATATGCTAGATGAAATCTATTTTCCCCACAGGTATTAAAAACAAAATGATAGCTCTTTTGAAGAAAAAGTCAATTAAGTCAGGAATCTCATGAAATCTAAAAGATGAATATTGAGAAGCCAAAGCAAATTTTAAAGTCTGACAAAATGTATATTTTATAAAATAGGAAACTGATGTATACTTATAAATGATACCACATAAAATATTTTTTATAATGTTAATATTTCAAAATCCATTATCATCCCTCTCTCTCCCATTAAGTATAATCTTAGAGGAAAAAAATGTTACAGGGTTAAAACTAGTGCACAGCTTAAAGGCTAGTGGGAAAAAAAAAGAGTGAAAGAATAACCTTTTCAAATCAAGCCTTTACCCACTAACATGGATAAAGGTAGCCCATTTTAACATGGTAACTAATTCTGTTTCCTGAAGAATATATTTGTAGACCAAAAACAAGAATGATTCAAGGGTTCAGTGAAAAAAAATCAAACACACCAACAGAAGTCACATAAAAATAATATTTGGTAAGATATTATCTTTAAAACAGTAAGAATAGCAGGATTTTCTCTGTGCCTCTTTCAAAGTTTCCATGTGTTCATCATTCAGCAACAGTCTACTCACTTCCGCTGGGTGTGGTCCATGCCACTGTTTGGTATTGCTTCCAACTTTGTATTTTTCTGCCCACAGATATTTCCATAGCTGTCGTATCCTGACACTAGTCTTGCTGCTGCACCTGTTGCTATTGAAAAGCCACAAATAAATCCCTAGGAAAGAAACAGAAAAAAACATACAAATAAACCATTTCAATAGCCAACAGTCACTAGTTGATACGATAATGAGCTTCTTTTGTCTGCTGAAGGGAACAAAGAGCTATCTTTCCTTACTGCAAACACTATTCTACTGTTTTCCTTGGATTGCACAAGCAATACAAAGAAGTCCATAGGGAAACACTATTTACTACCATAACAAAACAAATCCTAACCTTTACATCACAAGATCATCTTTGAATTTTATTAATAATAATAATAGTAATAATATCAGCTTCCCTATACAGAACACCTGCTCTGTGCCAGTCTGTGTACTCTTAACAGGTGCTTGTAGTACGTTATCTCTAATCTCATGATGAAGATTATGAACTGAGGCCTAGCGACGTTAAACAAGTTATCCGAGGCCATCAAAGCTAGTAAAGATCAGAGCACAGAATCAAACCCAGCTTCCCTCATTCTTTAGTTTCATTTGGTTGTAAAGGGGTTCCTTTAAGTGAACACCAGCAAAGGATGAAAGAAAAAAATTCAAAAGAACAATAGGAACGGGGGTTTTGAATCATTATCGCTTCAGTGCAAGCAATACTTCTGTTTCCTTCCTGCAATAAAGCTGTATACAAGTCAAAGAATTACATCGTGAAGCACTGCCATGCTCTTAATACTGAAGACTGGAGGACAGTAAGGCACTGGCTTTGTATACTGCAAAGGTCACTTCATTTCATGGGAATATGCTTCATCACAGTACTAAAGGCAAATGGTAGATACTTCAGAAGCACATCATGCTTGCTAAGTCAAGCATGCACTGACCAAAACAAAGCAATAAAAGCCTATGCTTGACAGCAAGCAACTAGCCAGAAGAACAGGAAGTAAAGTGAATCACTACTGATAAACTGATTGTATTTGGGGGGAAAGACTGAGGCTAAGAACTATTCTTGCAACCTGGTAATTAAAAGGTTACGTTTTTATTATCTTTAGTAAACTGGCTGTGAAGGCAGAGACTATCATTATTTAATTAATCACAGCCAAGTATCAAGAGTAGTACTTATCTAAATAGCCTTGCTAGATCTAAGGCCTAAAGTGGAAAATACTATACTCATATGCAATTCCTCAGAGAAAAGTATTTCCCCTTTAAATATACTTACCTAAAAAGGCAAACAAACTGTTTTCTAAACAAGCCCTGCACTTTCATTGTGCAGGTAAGGGAGCTACAAGGAAAGAGTAGAGACCATAGCTACAGTCAGTAAAAACTTCTTGAAGCTATACTTTGTAAAAAAATAGACTGAGAGTGGAGACTATCCCTGATTTGCTACTCACTAGCTTCAACTTTCTGTCTCAATTTACTTATCTGTAAAATTGAGATAATGAGTGTATGTAGCTCACTGGGCTGTTGTAAGGATTAAATGATGTAATCTAGTAAAATGGTAAAAAAAATCTGCCTGGCATATAGTAAGAGCTTAATAAAGTCTTAGCTATTATAGTTGTTAGGTACTATTATTATAAGTGAGAATATGCTACAAGGGAAAGATGGTGGGCTTCGGGGTCAGAAAAGCCTGCGTTGATCAATGGAATACTGATGACTCCATTTTCTTCTTGGGTGACCTTGGACAAACTTACTTAATTCTGTGCCTCAGTTTGCCATCTATAAGTTAAGGTTAAAACCACTTACCACAAAGGCTGTTGTGAGAATTACATGAGATAATACATGTTACGTGTAAAGTGCATGTCTTAATACATGTTAGTCTCCTTCTGCCTCCAAGCAGCACAAACTGCTAGCGGTGGGGTTAGACACAGCTGGTCAGTACTTACTCATTCACACTCACCCTGTTGCCCCTCTCCCCCTCTCCTGACTCCTCCAAGGACACTGTAGGGCAATCAATCCCACCTCAGAACTTCAACCCAATACTAAGACATGGAAAAAAAATATTTAATCCTTTGCATACATATTTGCATATTTACATGTGTGAATCAGCATACCATTTTAAGCATATCTTTGAACTCCAAATTAGGAAGCCCTGTGCTGAGTAAAAACTGGAAAAGGAGGTAAGTATTAGGAGGTTTAATAGCTAACCTTTCCAATACTTTTTTTTTAAGACAGAGTCTAGCTGTGTTGCCCAGGCTGGAATACAGTGGCACGATCTTGGCTCACTGCAACCTCTGCCTCCCGGGTTCAAGCGATTCTCCTGTGTCAGCCTCCTGAGTAGCTGGGACTACAGGCATGTACCACCACACACAGCTAATTTTTGTATCTTTAGTAGAGACAGGTTTCACCATATTGGCCAGGCTGGTCTCGAACTCCTAACCTCAAATGATCCATCTGCCTCAGCCTCCCAAAGTGCTGGGATTACATGCGTGAGCCACCACGTGAGGCCTCCAATACATGTTTTAACAAGAAGACTCAGATTAACAGTAAGGGAATGGACTTCGTATTCAGTAAGACCTGGATTCAAACCCTCACTCTACCAATTACCATCTGTGTAATTTTTATCTAATTACATACTTAGACTCTGTTCCCTCCTCTCTAACACAGAGTAATACCATCTATTTCATAGCCTAATGAGGAGAACTGAATGAAATAACACATATCCAATCCCTAGCTGACTGTCTGGTACATGGCAGGTGATCAATAAATGGTAGCTGTTAGCGGTGAATTTGAATGGGAAAGTCAGACTAAAGAGGTTAACAACAGTAACTGGACACTAACAAAAACCCCTTCGGTTCTGTTTTAGAACAAAAATTTCTAGGGGGAACAGCGAGAATGTCAGTAATTTTGTTACTGTACAAAAATATTTTCAGACCACAATTACAATCTTCTTTCACTACTAATCTAGAATAGCAAAGTTGTTACATAATTAAAAGGTTATGTTCTTCTTTTACTTTTTATAGGAATTTTCTTCTTATGTTTGGTAAGTACATTGTGTTACAGATTCCTTTAAGTGGCTTCTGATTTCCTTTTCTGACTATTTTTAACAGTACTGTTGGACATGTGGGTTTTTTTCTTTATCATCATAAGCCACCTCACATCCCTCTCGGATGTAGGCAGGGGTATAAATTGTAAATGTTACATATATATGCTAAAATGGGACACTGACATATTTTCACATAGGCCACTTAAACTTCTTAGTAGCTTCCAGAAGTATTAGAGAGGGTGGAAAGCTGCCAGGGGTGGGGGGTGGGCAAGGAGAATAATAAGCTAATAAGACGAGAAGAAACCATGACTATTATCCTAGGGACTTTTCATATGGTACAACCACTGACAATGGGGAACTAGGCCAAATACAATTAAAAATACAATATCTTTAAAAAGAAAAATTCTAAAATCCAAATGTGGGAAGCAATATAATTTCAGAAAGGAAACAATGTGGTACATGAAATTAAAGTGGGGTGAGAGAAACTTTACAGAATACACTCAATAATTTAATGGTTCAGCAGAGAGAGAGGGGAAAGGCATTCAACAGAAGGAAAAATCGCATTAATGAAGCAAATGATAAGGGGATAAGGAAGGCTTTCATAAGCGAGGAGTAGGAAGCAATCTTAGAGAACAAGTAAGACTATTAGCAAGGAAGAAAATCATGGCTAAAATGTTCAAATGAGTGACCTATGGAAGTGCTTTCAGCACTGCTATTTTAAGAGAGAGAAGAGGAACAGACAAATTTATTCACAAATAGGAGGTGACTCAAATCAGATGAAGGCACACAGGGATGGTGGGTCAGAGGCATGACCTGGCAACTCGTAAGTACCGACTGCCTAAGTGGGAGAAAGACAATTTGCTCATTAATGAACTGTGCTCATATTCCCTTCATATCACAAGGTCTAGTTGTACCTAAGTAAGGGCTTATGCTTAGTTTTATTTGCTATTAGTAAAAAAAAAAAAAAAAAAAGACACACTTTCATTTCACAAGCATGTTTGAATTGTATACCTAGAGCCTCTACTAAGTAACTGAACAAAGCAGAAGGACTAAATTTAGTTTTGAAAAAAAATGGTCAACAAAAACATGTATAGAGTGGGTGGGAGATGGTGTATGAATATGGCAAAATGTTTCAAAATAAAAAGATAGGGAAAAAAAGGAGTTCTGCTTACAGCCCTCTCCCCTGGAATTAATGAAAACATATACTGACTCTCTTTTTCTCAGATACCACTTCACCTCTATAAAGCCCATA